GGTCCCGGTCCTGCTGGGCGCGGGCGCGGCGGCGGGCCTCGCGGGCGTTGGCGGCGGGCGTGGGCGAGTTGGCGCGCAGGCGCAGCGGCCGGTGCTGGATCTTTTCGCTGTAGATGCGGTCGACGGTCGACGGCGAGTGCGCCCGGGCCAGGAGCGCCCGCGTCACGGCCTCTGCGCTGGCCGAGGCTGACATGGTGAGGCTCGCGGGCGCGGGGCTGGGTGTGGTTTTGCTGGATGGCCGGTTCAAAGTTGTTTTTTTGCGCACAGGCGGTTCCTGAAGAAAGCTACAGGTCTCCATGCTTGGTGTGGGGTCAAGCTCGAAAATTATGGGGCTTCCCCAGCGGCAAGTCGTCGGAGAACAGGGGTCTCGGCTGTCCCCTCACATGCCATTCTAGCCTCGGTAGACCAGCCATTGATCGCGCGCCGTCTTGTCTCCAAGTCTTGCCCCAACGTTGGCCAACGGCCAGACCAAACCAACGCTGCTCAACGAAACTCGACCACAAAACTCGACCACGAAACCACGACGGCACAGCGGCCCCACCGCCAAAGCGAAACATAATAGTCCCACGCCTGGTCTGCCTCCGCGCCATGATAGTCCCCGACGCGCGCAATTGGGTAGCATAGCATCGAGGTGGTTTTGCTGCGACAGCCGACATCCGCGGCTACCCGAAGCCGGCGCGCCACCAACAAAACGACCCGGCAGCTCCCCCCCGACGGTGCCGAAACCATGGCGAACGGTGACGACGACAGCCGGGACTCGGCTCCCGACCTCAAGATTCTCGGCGACTCGATTACCCTGCAGCCCAGCGGATATGTCGAGTCCACCACGTTAGCCCGCGAGGAGGCCCTCATGAAGCACATGGCGAGCTTCCGGTCCGAACCGCTGCAGTACGTACCTGTCTGCGTCTCTGGCTTCCTTGCGCAAAGGCTTTGATGCCTGTCGCATTCCTGCCCGCTGGTTTCGCTGGCCGTGCTGACTGGCGCTCCAAACGCCCACTCGCAGATTCCTCCGCGAGGTCTCCCTCTACGTGTCAGGCACAGGCTGGCGCGCCTACGACCATGCCATCGGCCAGCCTATTTTCTACCAGGGCTTTTCGGAGCAGATGATAAATCGGGTTCTGTCGGCGCCTCTCCTGCGCGCGCGGATATCCCAATTGGCAGATAAGCGGCTAGCCAACGAGGAGAATGAGGGCTTCTTTCGCAAGGGGGACCCCGACTACGAGCTGCGGCGGGCGCAGCGGCGCACGGAACTCGAGGTCGGCCTGCAGCAAGTGGCGGAGAAGTGGGTGGACAACATGATCTGCAAGTTCGAGAGCAAGACCTTCATCAGGGGCGCATATTACCTCTGCACCCAGCTCCTGACGCGCGCCTACCATCAGGGCATCCACGTGTCGAGCGAGGAGGTCCTGCGGCTGCGCAAGGTCGCCGAGGAGGCCGAGCGCAAGAAGCAGAGCATCATATTCCTGCCTTGCCACCGGTCCCACGTCGATTACGTGTCTCTTCAGCTGATCTGCTACCGCCTCGGCCTGGCCCTGCCCATCGTCGTCGCCGGCGACAACCTCAATCTCCCCGGGGTGGGGAGCTTCCTGCAGCATGCTGGAGCCATGTGGATTCGCCGTTCTTTTGGCGACGACATGCTCTATACCACCCTTGTCCAGGCCTATATCGACACCTTGCTCCAGGGCGGCTACAACTTTGAGTGCTTTATCGAGGGCGGCCGTTCCCGGACCGGCAAGCTCCTGTCACCAAAGTTCGGCATCCTCAACTTTGTTGTGGACAGCGTGCTTTCGGGCAGGACTGAAGACGCCATCATCTGTCCCGTGAGCACGCAGTACGACAAGGTCATCGAGACAGAGGGCTATGTTACCGAGCTACTTGGTGTTCCCAAGGAGAAGGAGAACCTGGCTGATTTCCTTACCGGCGGTTCTTCGGTTCTCTCGCTTCGCCTCGGCAGGGTCGATGTGCGGTTCCATGAGCCATGGAGCTTGCGCGGTTTCATTGATGAGCAGCTAAACCGGCTTATCGGGATTCCCAAAACCTTGGAGGCTACGGACCTGGAAAGTAAAATTACACCGGCCGTGCGGCAAAAACTGCTGCGCACTCTGGGATACAGGGTGCTGGCGGATATAAACGACGTGTCCGTCGTCATGCCTACAGCCCTGATCGGCACGGTTCTCCTGACGCTGCGCGGCCGTGGCTGTAGCAAGACGGAGCTAATTCGGCGCGTACAGTGGTTGACGGCGCGCGTCAGGGCAAAGGGCGGCCGCGTCGCCCACTTCGGGAGCGCCTCGGTCGTTGAGGTTATCGAGCGTGGTCTCGAGGTGCTGGGCCGTGACCTTGTCGGCACCGTCGACGGCCTGACCGAGCCCGTGTACTACGCCGTAGACCGTTTCCAGCTCTCCTTCTACCGCAACATGACCATCCACCTCTTCATCTCCGAGGCCCTCATCAGCGCGGCCATGTACATACGCGTCAAGCGCGGCGGCGGACCCGTGATCCAAGACATTACCTACACGGAACTGCACGACCACGTCCTCTTCCTCTCCTCGCTCTTCCGCGGCGAGTTCATCTTCTCGGGCGAGGGGCTGTCCGTCAGCCTGGACAAGACCCTTAGGGGCCTCGAGGCCGAGGGCGTCATCTACCTGCACCGCAGTGACGACGGCAAGATCGAGAAGGTGGGCCTGTCGGACAAGGAACGCCAAGCCGGACGAGAGAACTATGACTTTTACTGCTTCCTCATCTGGCCTTTTATAGAGTCGACTTGGCTCGCGGCCGTTTCTCTAATGGGACTGGCGCCCCCGCTCGGAATGGCGCCGGATATATGGATCGAGGTGTCCAAGGCGCAAAACAGCGCGCAACTGGTAAGACGACAAGAGTTTTATTAGACCTTGGCATGTCTTTTTTTCTTTCTTTCAGGCCCTTTGCGCTAACACCGAACCTCTGCTTGCAGCTCGGCAAGGACCTGTACCACCAGGGCGACCTGTCCTACTTCGAGGCCGTCAACAAGGAGACACTAAAGAACTCTTACCAGCGGTTCGAGGAGGAAGGCATCATACAGGTGGTCAAGTCCAAGGACCCTCGGGTCAAGCCCCGCCTGCGCCTGTCGGCCGAGTGGACGCCCTCGAGGGACCCCAAGACGGGCGAGCTGGCGGCCTCTGGCAGGCTATGGGACTTTATCGAGAAGATCGCGTCGAGCAGGCGCGAGGGCAAGAACCGCCGCGACGGCGCCACAGTCAGCACGCGGGTCGTGCGGCTGACGGACCTCATCGGCCAGAAGCTGTTCCGCGAGGTCATCGGGGCCGAGGGGAAGAAGGGCGCCGCGCCGCCGAGGCTCACATCCGAGGAGGCGGCCGGGCTGGCCCGCTCGGTCAGGGAGCAGAAGAGAAGGCGGAAGCTCGAGAACAGGGCCAGGCTGTGAGGTAGACAGCAGGCCCGGGCTCGGACTAGCAGATGGGAAGTAATGTGTTGAAGATAGGGTACGATAGAGCCTGATGAGGGATGCAGCCATGTAGGAACCCAATTGTTATTATGCATTGGAAGTCTACCGATAGTGTTTTCGGACCGTTTTGACTCGAGAGTATACATCCAAGTCAACTGGGCTAAGCTCTAGTCTAAGCGCTGCCATTTATATCAACACTGCCGCCTGTAAACGCCAAGTTTCGAGGTCGTCAAAATGCAAATGCGTTGGCCCTAGGTTTGTATAGGGTCCAGGATGAGGTTGTCTATCAGCCTCACGGCGGGACCTCCGCTGTGGCCGAGGTCTTCTCCGGGCTGGGGCTCCTCGACCGGCAGCATCTTGATGGCGCCGCTCAGGATACCGCCCCTGGCCGGGTCGACCTCGTCCAGCTCCTCCATCGTGTCCGGGTTGGCGAGCGAGATGTAGTCAACCTCGAAGACGACGCGGCGGGCCGGTGGGAGAGCCATCTGCGCCGCCAGGGCGTCGCGCACCACCGCCTTGGCGGCGCCCAGCACGACGGCGCGGTCGCGGCGGCCGCCCTCGGCAAAGGCGCGCTCGGCGGCCCGTAGGGCGCGGTGTAGCACCGTGGCCTGGGCGCGGCGGCGCGGCCCCAGGTAGACGTTGCGGGAGCTCAGGGCCAGGCCGTCGGCCTCGCGCTCCGTGGGGCACACGACGACGTCGGTGTCGAGGCGCAGGTCGCGCACCATGCGGCGGACCACGACCGTCTGCTGCACGTCCTTTTGGCCAAAGTAGACGCGGTCCGGGGTCACGACGTTGAAGAGCTTGAGGCACACGGTCGCCACGCCGCGGAAGAAGGTCGGGCGGCTCCTGCCCTCGAGCAGCGTACCCACGGGGGTGATGGTGACGAAGCTGCCGTGCGAGTCCGGCTCCTGGCCGGGGAAGCCGGAGGGGTACATCTCGGGCGTGGACGGGGCGAAGACGGCGCTGACGCGGCCGAGGTTGGACCCGTCGTCGGCGAGCTCGGCGTCGAGGCGGCGCAGGAGCGCGCAGTCGGCGTCCCACGTCTTGGGGTACGAGCCCAGGTCCTCGCGCGCGCCGAACTGGGCCGGGTTGACGTAGATGGACACGACCACGTGGTGGTTCTCGCGCGCCGCGGCCCGCACGAGCGCCTCGTGCCCGCGGTGCAGCGCCCCCATGGTCGGCACCAGGGCCACGAGCCGCCGGTCCAGCGCGTGCGGTCGGCGCCAGAGGCGGACGGCCGGCACGGTGCGGAGGATGCGGATCGACGTCGACGGGATCTTGTCGAGCGGCGGCGACGGCGTCGCGTCGGCCGGCTGGGAGGAGGACCGGCAGGCCATGGTGCGGACGGAGGTCCGTGGGGCAGCAGCGGCGGCGGTGCCGGTCCAGGCGATGGCGGCGGCGGCGGCGGCGGCGGCACGCCCGAGCGGCGCGCGGGATGTGGTGCCTATCATGGCGGCGTGGGGATGGGCAATGACGGGAGGATCTGGGAGTCTCGACTAGTGGTTTTACATGAGGAAGGACCTGGCCGAGCCCATGACTCCATTGCGAAGCCCCAATTGTTACAATTTATACGAGGCCGCAGAGGCTGGCTGGCCTGGCGCCCTTGGTGTGCTCCAATCATGATGATATCTGCAGCGTATTTTTCAAGCCGGCAGCGTGCTTAAACTCCTGCTGAAGGGGCCGTGCATCTGACCCACCGACCCCTAACCCTCCCAAGCCTCCTAGGTATGATGTCAGCCTTCACCGTAACACCCCAGCCCAACCAATCTTCGACTACCCGAAATCTGGGGTTGCTCTAGCCCATGGCCTTGACTGACAGATACGGCCCCTTTTCCAGCTGGCCATCACAGCCTTTTCTTTGGGCCTCCTCTGCGGGGACCATACGTAAACGTGTGGTCCCCGCAGAGGAGGCCTTTCTTTGCTGTTGCGACTAAGTTGCTCAAACCCGCTCACCCTTGGAAAGCGTCTCCGAGATCCGAGGCTTGTCCCCCGACCCCGAACGTGGTTGGGGATGCGGGTAGCCATCAAACTAAATTAAATGTTGCATCCTCGACGGCAACGCGGCGACTCTTCACCACCAATCGCTCATTTTTGAGCATATTTTCGTCACTAATCACCGCCCTTTTGTGCTTGGCATTCCGTTTTCCTGTCAACCTGTCTTGTCGGCTTCAATCCTCGCATGTCAAGTGACCTTCCTCCTGCACGGGCACCAAGCATGGAAGCGGAGCGGCGTCGTGGGCCCCGAGGCCGCACTTGGCTAGGATGGCACCCATGGAGCCATCCCTGAGGTCTTGAATACCGTCGTCCTCGTGGGTATAAAATGAGAGGCGATTGTCGATTCACAGAGCCCGTCTTCCTAGGCTCATCCAGTAGAACCAACAGCCAGACTTCTTTCGAGTCTCTGCTATCAACAATGCGTTTTCGACCCCTGCTCGACTTCACCGTCCCCGTCCTTGCCTGCCTTGGGCTTGGGACGGTCACTTCGGCTCAGTCTCCTGACTATGACCCTACGCAGAACCTTGCCATTGGATTTGTAGGCCAGCTCAAGCACTTATTGACTAATTCTAGCTGGCCGAAGATAAAAGGCTCACACGTTGTTGGTTCTAGATCCTGTTTCCTGGCTTTCAGCCCATGGATGTCATAGGCCCGTCCGACATCATCCAAGGGGTGAGCCTCGGAGCCCCTGATTTGCACTTTGGCAGTCTGCTGCATTGACTGGTGGCTTTTTCTTGCTCCCTCTTTGACATGCTCCAACACCCGCAGCTCTCCGGCCGGTTTAACATCACCACCTACTTCATCTGGAAAGAGGCGGGCCCTGTTTCGGGCCGCTCGCCGCCCCGCAAGAACCCGCCGCCGCAGAACCCCAACTTCCCTCCGTCGATATACCCGGCACAGGCTCCGTCCTTGGTGGCCACGCATTCGTTTTCCGATGCGCCGCCCCTGGACATCATCTTGGTCCCTGGCGGCACCGGCAACAGGGTCCTGGAGGAGAACAACGACACAGCCATCGAGGACTTTGTGCGCGAGCGCTACCCCTCGCTCAAGTACCTGCTGACCGTGTGCACCGGCGCTGCCAGCGTCGCCAAGTCCGGCCTCCTGGATGGGCGCCGCGCAACCACCAACAAGGCAGCGTGGGCGTGGGCTACAAGTAACGGCAACGGCGTCAAGTGGGTTCCCTCGGCTCGCTGGGTCCAAGATGGGAACATTTGGAGTAGCTCTGGCGTCGCAGCCGGTAAGTTCTCTTTGGATTTCCTCCTGCCAGTCTGCCCTGATTCCCCTTGTTAAGACCGCATCTGATAATCTCCGTCACATCATAGGGATCGACATGACATACGCCTTCTTCAAGATGCTTCTCGGGCCCCAAGCTGTCAACCCGCTCATCAATGGGATCGAATACACTCCGCATACCAACGAGCACTGGGATCCTTTTTCAGTCGTGCACAAGGTAAGGCGCTGACCGTCTGCATCATGATACAGACTGCTATTCTTCCCGGAACCGTCGTGTAATGCGGCTGCCTGCTGACGCTCGCTTCGGCACTTCCACCATAGGTCCCCGGAGCAGATACATTCCAACCCCTTGGCGAATGTGTCGGGCCGGCTGGGTATAGCTTTACTTGTGCTCCGAAGAGCTCCATTTGAGCACCACCCGCCCATGAAGAAAGCATGAATGTCAGGTGTGACAGACGACCCGATTATGGAAGTTCCCGAAGTGGCTGCCCTGGAAATCACTTGGCAAGATTCATGACCTCAAAGGGCGGTTGATATTCTTCAATCAGTGACTGAGGATGTATTATTCAGTCTCAAGTTATACAAATCTGACAGTTCCAGGAATCTCTGGGCATGTAACCGGATACCAAGGGCCTCTGGGCAAAGGCTATATGCTTGACTTTTGAAGTGAGACCAACCACAGATACTCCTACTCAGATACCATAGCCCAGTAGTCGACGTCCGGCTTCACATCGTCTCCCCCCGCGAGGGAAGCGTTCCCACTGACTTTGCCAGCCACGCTCGTTGCCCATGCAGCCTCCAGCCGGGCGGCGTCGTCCCTCGTCACCCTGAGCTGCACCTGCTTGCCGGGCCGCAGGATCGCCGTGATCTGCTGCGCCCACTCCCAGGGTTTCGCCTGGCCGCCCGGCTTGCCGTTGAAGTACTCCCAGCCCATGATGCCGCCGACCTCGCCGTACTTGCGCCGCAGCTCGCCCATGGTCCGGGCCAGCTGGTCGAACGGCGTCCACTGCGCGCCATTGTCCGGCGTCGTTACCTGGCCCGCCACGATGCGGCGCGGGTCGTAGCCGGCCGCGACGACCGAGTCGAAGGCGCCCGTGTCGATCATGTCGCCGAAGCCGTTGTAGAACTGGGCGTTGTAGAACTCGACGTCCCGCCCGCTCGTCGCCTCCAGCTCCCGGTAGCTGAAGCCGCTCAGGTTCGGCCACTCCCGCGTCGTCAGCGCCGACGCCACGGGCGCCATGGTGATGGTGAATTCCGGCCCAAAGTCGGCCCGCAGCCGCCCCACCAGCCGCGCCGCCCCGCGCTGCGACATGGGCTGCTCCACGTCGACGTCGAGCCCCTGGAGCCCGAAGCGCCGCAGCGCGTCGCGCAGCTGGCCGTAGGCGCGCTCGAACAGCGGGCTGCCCTCGGGCGCATCCAGCGTGTCGGCCGCGAAGGAGCCCTCGGCCGCGCCGCCCACCATGGCCACGACGCGCACCCCCGAGTCGCGCAGGACCGCCGCCTCGGCCCACACGGTGGCGAAGCGCGGGTGGCTCGGCGGGAAGTCGTTGAGGTAGAGCTCGCGGTCGGCGCGCACGTGCAGCGTGCACACGATCAGGTGCGTCAGCGCGATGTGCTGCTCCGTGACGAGCGGCAGCATCGAGATGGGCCGCCCCGTGGTCGCGTCGTGCGTCGTCTGGTAGTAGATGGCCAGCCGCGGCAGGCTAATCGACGGCGCCCGCACGGGGAGCGTGTCCGCCGCGTCGTCCAGCGGTCGGGACAGCGACGGTGCCGCCAGCAGCAGCAGCAGCGCGGCCAGCCAGGGGATGAGTGTGGGCTTCATGTTCTCTCAGGGGTTGCCGCGCGTGGGCGTGCTGGAGGGTCCTACACCAGGAAAGGGGGGAGAGGAATGCGTCTCTGCACTCGAGGGACCTGATCAAGCATCGCGTGCCGTGGCCTGCCGGTGGGTTATATACCGAGCCCCCCGAGTCGTTCACCTGACCTAGACCCCCCCATGGCGATACGACACGAGCTCTCTATGCCCTCTCTTGGCATGGATGCCCCCTCTTTGAAGTGCAACCCCAGCTCGAAAGGGGGCTGCTCCCGGGACGGACAACTGACACACAGCAGCGGGACATGTGTGCCGAAATCGCAAAAGAAAACGGGAGAATCTCGCCGGCCGCTACTCTAGATTGCCCGCGTGAAGCAGCTCGTCGCCGAAAATATACCAATTCTTAATCCAGACGCAGTCCACACACAACAACTGCCGTCTGACGGCCCGCGGAGGAAGGCGGGCGCTGGCACGTGAGACACTATCTATGGGTCTTCCTGCTTGGATTGCACGCATGAGGTGGGTTACATTGGGGGTGTTGGTCCATAGCGGCTGGCGGTGTGGGGTCAGAAAGGAGCATGTCTGGTACAGGTTCGCCATTGCCAGTCAGCCTCGATGCGAGCCGCCAGTCGACAGTGGCGTCATATCCTGAATCACACATTCATGCCCGACATGTCAGTTCGGCAATGATGCTACAGAGTCTTTGTTTCAGGGAAAACAGGTCGTGGTGGAAAAGATTGATTGCGGGAAAAACATCTACGAGCCGCCGATGCTGCCATGTGGATAGCTACGATCAGGTTCGACTGCCCAGGCGTGTCAAGGCACAAAGTATGCAGTCGTTGATAGTCGACGCCAATCATGCACTACGCAAAGGAAAATCTCGCAATTAAAAGGGGCTACAAAGGGGATACGGCCATGTCAAAAACCAACCACACGACACTGGTACCTCAGCGCCTTTGACCCATCACTCAACCCGTCACCCACTAATTAGCGATCCTCGCCGACGTTTCGTATAGTTTCGTCACGCAGCTTGCCGATAACGGCCTTCACCCGCAGCAATTCCCGCTCGGAACACGACACCAAATAGGTATGGCCGCCATAGCTGGCGGGAGGAGGGCCCGTCCGCGGCGATTTGGGAAACGGCACGTCGCGGTAGTCCAGTGGGTAGCTGTGCTGTTCCGAGTAGTAGCTGACCGTTTTCGAGGATCGCAGCAGCCTGTTCTCCTTCAAGGCCTCATTGCTGGCTGCGGGCGGGTGCGGGCTCGGCAAGAGGAGGATGGTCTGAAGGAGGGCTTGCAGCCCCGCCGGGCCCGCGTGCTTTAGCCGGAAGAAGAGGGTGTGCGGGAGGAGGTCCGGCACGACCGTGAACCGGAGCCGGCCAGGGTTGCAGGTCGGCGGGATGAGAGGCCTGTGGACGGCGGGCGCGTGGTAGTAGGTCCGCGAGAGGGCGTCGTAGCCATACTGGGGCATTATGGACGCGAGAGTCTTGACCAAGTCCTCCCCAGGCTGCCACCTAAACACCAGTGCCCGGTCGAGGTCCCTCGAGAAGTGCGTGGCGTCCTGGAGCTCCCGGACGACGCCGTGCGCCTGCGACCGCGCGTTCAGCAGGCGGACGTCGAGGCAGCGCAGGTTGTGCCAGAAGGCGCCGAGAGTGGCGCATCTGTCCAGGCCCCGGATGACCTCCTTCCGAACGCTGGCGGCCATGGGGAAGAGGCAGAACACGGCGCTGTGCAGCAGGTCGCCGAGCATGAAAAAGTGCTTAGCGTCGGTTATCTCGCGGCTGCTTCGCCCTGTGGCGTGGTTGTAATAATGGACCTTGAGCGTCTCGAGCGTCTGGATCCAGCCCAGGAGCGTCACGACAGCTTGGGAATCGTGATCGTAAAACTGCAATTCATAGTCTCCATTGATCGCTTGGTTCGTTGCAATGGTGTCCAACTCTTGCTGACTCGGACCGGAGGCATGCACGGTCGTTTCGGACCCCTTGGGATCGGAAAAATACATGATGCTGGTCGTATGTGATAAGTGTTGACGATGTGGGTTTGTATTGCTGATGGCGAGGGGGATGGAGCTTGTTTGGGGGCGTTGTCAAGACAAGTAATATAAGACAGAGGTAATGGTATGTTAGATTACCCATGAGAGCTGGGGCGATGCCACGATGGTCTATATGTGCATGACGGGGTACACAATCTCCGGTACAAAGTATGGCCTAGGGCTGTATTGAGGTTTCTCAACAATTACATGTAAACGGAGAAAGAGACATGTTGATGTTGTTTTGAATTGGGCCTGGCGCCGCATTGCTAGCAAAGTCGGTGGGAAAGTTTCGCTCCTGCAGCTCCCTTAAAAGGCTGACTCTAAAAGCCACCAAGCCTTAATTCAGGAGGACTGTCCGCCAAACCTCAATATTAGAAAGTACGGGTTTTCGGCAGTGATCTAATAAACGGGATGTGCGAATATGAGATTTACGTTATTGCTCGGGTTGTCTCTTATTTTTCCTGTGAGATGGCTTGGGTAGGCATCGGTATCACAGGGTACTATGAAACTGGCCTACCATTCTTTACCACCAATCAGTTGATGATGAGCTCGGGGATGTGTGGCTCAGGGTCCAGGTAAGCCTCGTAAATACACCGCTAATAGACCGGGCGCTTCCCCATCACCAGGATGGTGTGGCCCCGAGACTGCTGGATGGCGATGGATGTCGCGGCCAGCCGGGCCGCCCAATTGCCCTACGCCCGTAAGACGCCAGTGCACGATGGCGGATCCAGCATCTCGGCCCGCGAGTCCAGCGACACGATGCCTTCGAGCTTGGGCTCGGCCGCCGACTCTGGGATGGCACTGGGCGGGTCGCTGCCGCACCCGCACGAATCTGCGAACGGGTCCGGCGGCTGCTGCTCCAGCCCGAGAACGTTAATGTCCGCCACCCACTTCCCGTTGTTCTGTACCGAGACGATGGACTCGACCAAGTACACCCCCTGGTCGATCTCTCCCGTGGCGTGGCCTTCGCGCAGCGGCGAGCTTCATTTGGAGAACAAGAGATTGAGCGACGTTCCCTGGAACCTGTCCATAGTTAACCCGTCGTATAGCTGGTGGTGGTGTATCGCGAGACCGGCCGCCCGGCCGCGCATGAACCCTGGCCTTTCCGCTCTCAACGGCGACGCCGCCCCCTCGGCGAGAGGCAGGGAGGCCCAAAGGGCAGCAGTTTGGCAGTGCGAGCACAGCGACATTCTCTTCTGCCATCGATCGTCCTTGGCATGGGCTTCGAGGGCGGGGTCTGGCATCACCAAGCGCGACGCGGGCGGAATGGACTTTCTCGGGCACCGAATGGATTGCCCAAAGAATTAGCTTCTTTCCTCGAGCCACCCCACTACCACCTTTTCGTTTTGCACACACTCCCTTTTTTTTCTCCGCGCAAGCCACTGCGCGCATCTGCGCACTGCGCTGGTTCGCCAGGCTGCCTGCTCCGTGAACCTGCACTTTCTGTGTCCTGCGCCACCGCCGATTCCTCCCCGTTGCTACTTCCCGTCCATATAAGCTCCTCACCCCAAGGCACTCTGCCTGCCCAGCAGAGACTAGAAGTCTTCACTTCAGTGTCAACACCCATCTTCGCTGCCCCAACTCCATTGCTCATTCTGAACTATGGCGAACTATTCCGTAAGAACCCGCCCGGACTAGCCTGTTTTGATGCGCCACACATCAGCTTTGGACTGGAAACTGACAGGCTACGCCAGACCGACTCTGGATTCTTTTCCATCGCCGCGGATAGTTCGTCTTCCCAGGACTGTGTCCTAGAATGCCCGTGGAACTTGCCATCGGAAAACCAGGCTGCTACCCAAAGCAGTGCGACAAACCCGAGCAGCAATTGTGACAATGTCTCCCTCGCAGGGTACCCGCGTTCTCTCCTTTCAGCCACTGAGGCCGATGGCATTATGCCATTTACGGAGGATGGATTGTCACATCCCACCTTCGACGAGGTCCAAAAACTCCTTAGCCCTGATTCCATACCCGCCACCGAGGGCAAGAGGCAAGATCTGAGGCGTCAACTCCTCGCTGCTAAGACACGATCCGTAGTATGTGATGGCGACAGTTGGTTCATCCCCCTCGCCGACATCGCCGCGATCCTGACCCCCGGGCGCATATCCAAGTGTCTCTGGCCGGCGATGGAGGAAGAAGAGACCCAACATGTCCACGAATTCCTCACTTCGAACCGCAACGTCGTGGGCATCCTGGCTTTGATGGGAAGACTTGACTACTTCCCGGCCGTGGTATGCACCGGAGTCGTCGATGCCGTTCTCCCGTTGAAGCAGGATTGGCCCTCAAATCCTGAGCTTCTAGCTCTTACCACCACCGCTTCGCTCTGGCCCTCATCTGGGTTGCCCTACTGGTCCAACGACGACACATGCCACTTCCTCGACCTGCAGTGGGCATTCCTGGCCCCGCGTTTCAACATTCCGCCTCCTGGTAGCGTGGGGCAAACCTTGCAGTTCGATGGCAGGACAGTCCTGCCGTTCGTCCAGCCAGAAGGCCGGAGCGAGGGCGCTGTGCGCCGGGGTGGGTTCAGCACCGTGCACCGCGTCCGCATCCATAACAGCCATTACAATTTCTGCGATGTAGGTTTTAGTCTATCGTCCAAGTTACTAGTTCCAACAAGGCGAGATATTGCTCGCACCTTATGTTTTGTTCCTCGCTAACCAAGACATGCTGGAGCAGGATGACAAGCGCCAGTCTTTCGCCCTTAAAAGCCTGCACTCGAACACGTCAAAAGCCCGGTTCGAGAACGAACTTGCCGCCCTCCGAATGTTTTCGGGAAGCGGCAGCCCCAATTCTCACATAGTCCAGCTCCTTACTTCATTCCAGCATGGAAACCGCTACCACTTCTTATTCCCCTGGGCTGAGGGAGATCTGTCTGCGCTGTGGCGTCGAAACCCGTCCCCGCCCCACGACGCAAGACTCGCACGATGGGTGGGAGCGCAGGCACAAGGGCTGTCTGAAGCCCTGGTTGCTATCCACAACGGTTCAGCAGCTCCCAAGTACGGCGATCACGAAGACATAGCGTGCCGCCATGGCGATCTCAAACCCGACAACATTCTCTTTTTTCCCTCATTTGCCGACGGTTCAATCAATGGCAAACTGGTTCTTGCGGACTTCGGCTTGTCAGAATTCCATCGACCCACTCCTCCACCAACATCTGGCCGGAATCTCGGCAGCCAGCACATATTCGGCTTCACTCCTGCATACTGTGCTCCGGAACTCGACACTTCTAGCACCCGACCCCCTGAACTTTCAGCCGACATCTGGAGCCTGGGCTGCGTGTTGCTCGAGCTACTCACATGGGCCAATTTCGGTAAACTAGGGCTTGACCGACTGGCGTCGGCGAGAGTTTCCGCCTGCTCGGACGGTAGTGCTGACCCCGCATTTTTTGAAAGGGTTGGTACCGAGAATGAGGCAGGTGGAAGCTTAGGGGACTGCCGACTTAAGCCGGCCGTGGTACAGATAATTCAAGAGCTGTATCAAAGCAGCTTCCATCCTTTCTGGGACGAGTTCCTCGGGATTATTACTCAACACTTGCTGATCGAGCAGCCACGGAACGACCACAGTCAGCAACAAAGGATGACTGCCTTGCAGTTGGCGAGGAGATTGAAAAGACTTTGCGATGACCTCAATTCCAGCATTGAGTTGACTGGGTGGAGACCCCAGCATCCCGCCGTTGCTCTTACCACAGCCACCGCGTCCCGACTGCCTCCACTCTTTCTGGCGAACCGCTTGCGAGGGACTTCGTCTGTGCCGTCGCTTCCTCTCTCCCAGTGGCTTGGGGGCGCTGCTGCGTCTCGAGCTGGACTGGCGCCTCCGATATTACAAGCTGAACATGCCGATACGAGCTCAAAGACACTGACGAGCTCCGCCAGCAAAAGACCAGGCGATACATCGGTATCCAAGCGGGGGCGGCCCCGGAAAGTAAAGCGATCAGACTGTAGGCCGTTGTTGGCATGCCCTTTCTTCCAGGTTAACCAAAATTTCTTCCGCCAATTCTCCAACAGCTGCTCTGGCCCAGGGTTCGACGATTTCCACAGACTTAAGTGCGCATCTCTCCGGAATTGTAATGGGCCGCGTAGGGGTTTACTGACACCCATGATCTAGAGAGCACATACAGCGACGACATATGCCAAGCCTTCACGTCTGCCAGCGTTGCGGTGAAGAGTGCAAGTCGGATGAAGGCCTTTATAGGCACCATATGATGCATGATAAATGCGAGGTCGTCGAGAGGACTCCAGCCGAAGGCTTCCTCACTCACGAGGCTATGATGAAGCTCAAAGGCCGCAAGAAATGGGGCAATGGCACCACAGAGGAGGAGAAGTGGCGGGTCACGTTCGGCATCATCTTCCCCGACCACCCGATGCCTTCACCATGTAAGCCCTCTAGATTTCTTATGGCCCATCCAGAATTCACACCTGACCCCGTGTTACTTCTGCCGGCTCTGGGATTTGAAGCTGACCTCGCAGCAAGATTACGGGCACGAAGCGTCCGCCGCTTCACAATCCTCGGAAGCTATCGCCGACACATCCATAACGACACTGGACCCAACTTTCAGCTCATTGTCCTCCGTCGTGACCCGCAGCAGCGGCAGTGTGACGTCTCAGCTCGCCGATTACACAGAGTCTCTCAAGCGTCCTCTGCCTGCCAACGGCGAGTGGGAATTCGGCTTCCAGCTGGGCTGGGACCTCGGCATCGACCCGGACAAGTGCAATCTCCTGGCCCAGCGTTTCCGCTTCGAACAACTCAAGGGTATCCGAACTGCTCTCGGCATCCCAGTCAGCCAGTCTCCACCTGCTGAACTCACACGTGGCGCCCACAGTGACGCTACGACAGCCGCTATGGCTGGCGAGTTTGGCTTTGAAGCTGTCGACGTCGGCGAAGGCATCATCCGCCCGGATGTCCCCTCCCATCCCGAACTGCTAGCACCCGAGCTTATCCGTCCCGGTGAGATGGGTCAGAAAAAGGGAAAGCAGAAGATGGCGGAGCGTGCAACGCCGACCACTTAATGCTGTTCCACTGCGGTGGTAGGTACTGTGACTCACTGTCAAGCAGGCTTGGTAGACTAGTCATTTATGACGGACAAATGGTGCAAGGTAGGGTTTATTGTATGCTTATCTAGATCTTTGAAGGGAAGACGGGCACGAGGCCGTAGGCTTTGTGCCCTCCTTATATACAGTGATACCCTTCTCTTGCACGCGCGGTACCCACTACCGCACCCCTGTTGTTGCCGACGAGTGCTCGGTAAGCATCTGCCCGGTGCCCGTGCAGATCCTCCATGCCAAGGCCTGGAACAGCGTGCCGGCCCGTGGTGATAGCCTCCTTTGTGACATCATTTATACCAATCACTGCAGTGACTCTGATTAATCAGACCTCTTCGCCATCATGGTGAATTTCGAAAGCTGGCTTGTTTTAAATAGCCGTAACAGGCCGCTACAAATATTAGGAGAGCCCCTTCCCTCTGTTCTTCTTAGCAGTTTACAGGTGCTTCGGTTTTAGCCTCGTTGGCGGCGCTGACGTTGGGGATGATGACCTGGCGGCCGTTGGAGCAGCTGATGCGGACATGGACAAAGTCTTTTTCGAACCCAGCAGACCCTTCCCGCTCAAAGTAGTTATACTCCTTGCGTATCGTCGACTTCCATGACTGTCCGTTATCTGTACTGACGTCGAGAGCCGTGACCGGGTAGTTGGCGTCAAGCACTTGGAGGGAAAAGCTGCATGAGAGGCAGCGCTGTGTTAGTGGAGCCCCGTATCATTATCATCAACAGATATGAGGATGAAGTTGGTGAATTCCTATGACACCAAGGATGCTCACTTACTACCACTTCGACGTTCCAGATTTGTTCCGCAGTCTCAGGGGCTTCGCGATCCCGCACGAAATAGGGTCATAGTTGATGGGGATGACGCCATCACTGGGGTCGCCAATGAGCTTGAAGGCGTCCGAGAAGAGGTTGAGACGACTGCCGCTGCACGACGGACAGCTGTCAACAATCATCACCTTGGTGCTGCCCCTGGGGCCTGTGACCTGGAGGCATGCACCACACTTGGCGCCTCCTGCCCAGTTCGCGGGGCCGAGTCCTGAGCCGTAGATACCGGGCGGGAAGCTATAGCTGGAGAAGGAGCATGTGCCGCTGGCTAGGTTGCCGTTAGTGAACGTGGCATCTCCAGGTATTGCGAGAGCCCGTGCCGGGAGCAAGGCAGACAGGGCGGCCGCCAGCCTGGCTGTCGATGAGGAGACACGCATCTTTGGAGAAAGTTATATCCCAGGCGCCCTTTGCGCCAGCCATGAGCAAAAGGGTGCTACCATATGGTGGCGTCCAGACATATTTATACCCTGGAACTTTCATCCTTTGGTTTATTTTTAGTCTGTCCCTCGAGACCATTCCTACACCCTCCTTTCCCGGCTTTCTGTTGAAGCTGAATAGCCGCCGCTAAGCGAGATCGAGGTCAGGATGCCATTATTGTCTTGGCGCATCTCGCCTTCTACTGTGGACGGCATCGAGACAGTGCGGCACACAATTACCCATGCCATGGCCAAGGTACTAGAGATGTCAATTTATAAAATGGGTCGGTTAGTACCAGGCACCCACATCCCGTTCCGGCTAAAACTGCGGCATCAACTGGAGCAAGAAAAAAGCGGGAACCTCGAGCGGGGATGCCGGACATGGAGTTGGGCTGCATTCTCGCCATCAGGATCTCCAGACCCCGAACAACACCGACCTGGTTGCCTTGGCCCCATCACACCGGTTCTCCACCTAATGCGTCTTTTGGTTGGTTAATGACGATTCGAGAGAACATAGCCCAAAAGATAACCCGGTCTCACCGCTATTTCGGGGCCACTCGACGTGCATTGCAGTACGTCAACCAGGATGAGGGACCCGACAGTCTGGGAAGTGGGAAGGGTTCGGCGCGTTGCAGGCGGGCCCAGGCGCAGGCGAGACCACGATCTTGCATATTTGCCCATCCCGACTTGGTGGCAAGCGGAGCAGGCCTTCGTCTGCCCCCGACACAGCAAGCCGTTTCCCCGCCATCGCGAACGAAAACTACTTGCTCGATGGCCAGAAGGCTTAAGGAGGAGGGAATGTGCTCTCCCGGATTTCTTCTCAAGCTTTCTATCTGATGTAACTCACGATAAACAGTGAAGGCCGGGAGCAATGATAGAAACCATCGGCTCGTAGCTCTAGCAGCCTTCGTACGGGCGCCTCGGTCCTTGCTTGTTCTCAAGCTGCCCCCAAAACTCGCGCAACAAGGATACAAGACCCGTTCTGTCCAAGTGCATCACTCCTACCCCCTATACTGGGGCGGTTATGGTTGCCATCTAGCCACCCTAGGTAGATCCTTCGTCACGGCATGTTAGAAAAGTTTAGTCCCGCATAAACCGCTGAGCCGGGACAGCCAACACGCCGTTTTATCCATGCTCATTGGAGGCTTAGGTGCATGTTTTCTTACCCGCAGCCGCCCTGACCCGGCGGTGTGGTTCTGGCCCTGGGCAACCAACATGTCCGGGGATTTCACTAGCGTCTTCGGGATCATGAAAACCACAGGTTGCCTTACGGGCGCAATACTCGTGGGTCGCGTTTTTGACCCGCATGTGGGCCTTGGTCCTCTGAAGGACCCCCTAGGAAGCTGTTCCATCTGCCTATACATCGTTTTGTTTTTCTCTAATCCTCGTCTCTTCCTTCCTCGTCTCCCACCATATCCCCTACCAGCATCTCGTTTGCCAGCACACTTCTTCGCCGTATACGGAACCCGAATATCCGTCGAGCATGGACTCTAACCGCCACGCCTCTCTGGAGGGCATTGGCGCATGGGCAGGCATTGATCCGGTTACAGCCTGGTGTGACGTATCCCAGCGCCTTCCACATACCCGGTAGGAGCAAACTTGCACCTTGATCCGACCTATTCCAGTGATCAAAATGGGTTTTGAGGCTAAAGATCATCCCATGCGTCATCCGTAAACTAGGCCCACCCAGGACATTTGCTCCTCAGCCCATCGTCACTACAGCATCACCCTGATGCAATATCTCAACCAACCCGAGCGGCAGGAGCTGATAATGCTCACTTCACTGCCAAAGGACCAGAAAGCCCGCGGGCCCGCCGTCAAGGATCGCCGCTGGGCCAGCAACGCGGAGATGGTAAGAGTTGCAGACGCTCCGCCACACTCGCCAGGCAGACCACCCGCAGCATCGAGTGCCACCGAACGGGGAGAACTGTGCTCGACATATGGCGGTGCTTCCACAACAACTCTCAAGCATCCGGCTCCCTCATCCCAGGATCCGATTTCTGAATCTGCTACGGCGACGGCAGTTGCCGGAGAGGCCGAGGATATAGGGGAGAGACTCCGGGCAGCTCGGTAAGTCCCGATGCCCCGCACACTTCTCCCTTTGCTGCAATCTGACACCGACGATGTCCGTATTGTGCTGACCTCGTAAAAATCCATTTCACTCAGCGCGGCTCAAGAGCATGGAAGGCCCAGAACGTACAAGACTCCCATGTGTCGCCGTCGAGATAAGATTTGTAGACGCCGGGCTTAGTACTTCCAGGGTGAGGCGCTTGCGCTTCTGCCGGGTGGTGCTCAAGATATGGGGGTTTAGCCCCTTTTTCGAGGATGAGGTGTTGTAGGGAAGCTAGGGTGCGCCTCACAACCGGGGAGATATTAATACCGCCCGCTGGACCGAAGGCGCAAGAACAATGGAAAGCACACTATCGGAGCCTCGGGATAGCCGACGGTGTTGGCGAGACTCGTTCACGGTGCTTGTTACCTCGCAATCGCCATCGCATCTTCAGACCACAAGGCATATCACATATAGATTGCAGAATTCTGGCCGGATTCCAGCCGTCCGGATACGTTACGGATAATTTTAGGACCAGCCTTCATCTAGGCAGCCAATGAAAAGTCAAAAAGCATTGAGATGGTGCTTTTGCTCGCTGTTTAGGCATGGATATGCCCGTTCTCTTATTCCATGGTCCGTATTCGTCACTCGAGCTTTTCGAAACCTTACTGAGATGAGAGCCCGTGGTGTCAACGCCGTTCGCAGCGTAACCGTGGCTATAAGCCGCACGGGCACTGGCACGGGTGCCGAACGCGATTGCATCCGACTACATTGGAAGGGTGAAACATCACTTTTGCTTGCCATTATCAGACGACCCACCGTGCCGGAGAGAACGAGACATAATTTCAGGTTTCCCATCCCCCGCGACGGACGTATCGTGCGTTTCTGGGAGGGATTCCAGGTATTGGTTCCTGTTGGTGATCGACATCTTGGCCGATAGGGAGCTGACAACAGGCCTTATTTGGATCCAGACCCCATTAATATATTTTTATTTAGCTTCTGCCACCTACGTATGTGTCAAGGACTCGGAGCTGTCGAGGCCGTAGCGGGCAACAGACCTCAACTGCCGAATCGACGTTGCCCGTTCGAGGTGTGGCAAGCGCGTTGGGATGGGATCCGCGATGTCGCTAGCCGACACACGGTGCCCGGCTCCCGTATACATCAACGCCTAGCGAGTGCGCGGGGGGCAAATACCCGTCGCTACCGATAACAAGCGTCATGTCGACGCTGGGGTTGCCTTGGCACATTACGCCGTCGGGGTCTAGAAACAAACGCTTGGTTGAGGCATAGGCACATCCATGATCGCGACTACGCACGGAATAGGAAGCCAGGTCGCCTGTTCGGGCACGTGTAGGTGCTCGGCAGGGATGTAGAATGTACTCGACAGGGCAAATTAATCTACATACACACGTGGGTAGACATTGTTCCACAACGAACTACGAGCCCGGATGCGGGGAGGGGAAGAAACCCACAAGCAATATCCCGTCAATGGTGACCTGAAGCGTGGTTCCCTGTTCCCTGCCGACTTGGACGGGGTCCGCGCATCGCACCGAGGTCCGTCCCGACCGCGACCTCTCCCTACAAGACAGTTCGGGCCCCCGGCTCATGTGAGATATCCTTGATGCGATGATTGGGCAAATCCATATATTGATCATTTACATCAACGCAGCGTTTCTTGACATTCCATTCCCCAGACTTGGCCCTCCAACCATCAGAGAGAGTCCCCTGCATAGGGCACCTCGAAAAGTTTCGTTCTCACGGATTGCTGCTGTTACAAGGCGGGCGATGGTGTGGCTGCCACCGCCGCTGGCAAGACTGAGGCAATCATAGACGCACGCTCATCAAAAAGGATCAACCAAAGACGCCGGGCCGAGCGGAGGCAAAGAAAGCGGTAGCGAACATGATGACGCCGGTGTCAACAGGCGAAAGTACTCGAACCCCGCTGGGCTTGCTGGTGCTGGTGCTCCTCCTCCACTCAGCGGGGTCAGCGGGAGCCAGCCCCGTCATACGGGCCGATGGGGTGGCCGACCCTCTCAGCGCCCTGGTCTCCATCTTCGTCAGCGAGGCGGCGCGGGTCGGGCAGCAGTTTGGCCTCCTGCCGACCGCAAGGCCCACCAGCACCGGCACGCCTGCGGCCGCGCTGACACCGAGCCCGCCGCTTATCAGCCCGGCCCCGATACCGGCCGCGCCTCCAGCGTCGACACGCCCGGCCACGGCGGCCCCACCCCCGACGACGGCTGCGACTCCTCATGCGACCTCTGCCCAGATATCGGTTCCTAGCTCTTCCTCGTCGGCTAGTCCCCGTATTCCTTCTCCCCTTCCCTCTTCGCCGGCTAGCCCCTTTCTTCCTCCTTCTATTTCCTCAACACCCACAACCTCATGGTCAACCTCAATAGCGGTCATGACACCACCACCTCCCTCCCAGCCATTAACCAGCTCAACCCAGGCGGCTCCCCCGCTCACGACCCCGCCGCCCAGATCTCAGGTAACCCTCAGCCTGCCAGCCACGAGCAGCCCAGCGATCATTGCGACCCTTCCTCCGAATAATCCTAACTCTCCGGGAACACAGCCGGGGCTCGCGACGGCCGAGCCCGACGCCGCACCCGTGACCAGGGGCAGCAGCAGCAGCAGCCCGGCGGCGCGCGCGGGGCGGGGCGGGCCACGAGGAGGCGGTCGGGGTGGAGGCCAAGGGCTTCGACCCAGCCAACGGGGCGTTCCTTGGCGGCACGCCGGACCGGGGCACCGACCTGCCCGTCACCGCCGTCTTCCTGCTCCTGTTCCTCGCCGGGGCCGTCACGCACATGTCCATCTACAGGGCCAACGCGCGGCGCGGCCACAAGTTCCTGCTCTCGGACCTCATGTTCGGCTTCTCCATGGTCCGCGTGGCAACGTGCGCCTTCCGCATCGCCTGGGTGTTTGCCCCGCTCAGGGGCATCATCTTGGCGGCGGTAATTTTGCAGAATAGCGGGTAAGTTTGCGGGAGATGGATGGGATCCAAGTGGGGAGAAGAAAATAACTCATTGGGCTGACCGGTATCCGCGTATACAGCGCCGCTGTGGCCTTTGCGGTAAACATCATCTTCGCTCAGCGCATCGCGCGGTCCCTCCACCCGCGGTTCGGCTGGCGCAGGGACTTTAGCATCTTCACCAACGCCGTGACCATCTCGGTACCGCTCATAATACTCGAGCAGATCGGCAGCACCATCGCCTTCTTCTTCAGCGTCGGCGACCCGGCCCGGCTCAGGATCTTCCAGACCCTGCTCAAGTTCGGCGTGTCCTACGTCATCTTCCTGGGAGGGCTGCCGCTCGTCATGCTGGGCGTCGCCGACGGCATCCCGGGCCCGCTGCCGGAACCGTTCGGCACGGGCGACTGGCGGCTCAAGAAGTCGGTCGTCATGGTGGGTGGCCTGCTCCTCCTGACGGGCGCCGCCGTCCGGCTCGCCGTGGTCCTGAACCCGGAGTCACCGTTCGCCATGAGTCCGCTCTTCAGCAAGGCCACCTTTTACACGACGCAGTCCGCGCTCGAGCTGCTCGTCATCGTGCTCTACGCTGCCACGCGCGTCGACCTGCTCTTCCACGTGCCCGACGGCAGCTCGCGCCCGGGCGACTACTCAGGCCGCAACGCCGCCGCCGACAGCGGCAAGCGGCCCGTGGTGACGCGCGGCGACGTCGAGGACACCCTGCACGGCCTCGGCGTGCCCTACGAGATCGTCCGCCGGGGCCGCCGCAGCACCCTCCGCCCCACCCCGGACAAGGCCGTCGTCTACGCCGTGCTGTACGCCGACGAGCCCGGCGCCGGCAGGAGGAGCAGCGCCGGCGGCGGGCAGGAGGAGCCAGCAGAGCCGGTGCCGGCGGTTCCGGGGGTGACTCGCGGCGCCGGCACGCGCAGCGAAGCAGCCACGGTTCACCAGCTGGGCGAAAAGCAGACTGCCTACAGGGGCTCGGACTGGGACTACGACGACGAGGCAGACAGTCCGCTGACCGTCGGCATGCGCAGCGTCCCCGCGCCGCCGCCGCGGGCCAGGACCCGGCCGCGGGCGCAGGAGCGGCCCGACTCGGACACGTACACGTCGCCGAGCGAGAAGGAGGGCTACTACTACGACGACGGCGGCGACGACGAGATGGTCCCGGGGCCCGTCGGGTACGCGTACCCGGACCTGCCGCCCCGCGCCGCGCCCGTGTCGCGCCGGACGTCTATGCTGGCGGCGATACGGCCGCGGATCCTCAGGGCCGCCGCTGCCGCCGCCGCCGCCGCCGGCCCCGAGGGTGGCGGCCCCGTCACGTCGGCGAGGGCGAGGCACGCGTCCACGCCGCGGCGGGCGTCGTACGTCACTTTTGACGAGAACGATAGCTACTACATCGGCAGGCGGCGGGCTGCGGACGACGACCCCGTCCCGGTGCCCTACTTGGATGGAAGCAGGAATGGCGAGTGAGCACACCAGTGAGGGGGTCAGAGGGCGAGGGTCTTTGTTTCACAACCGATTGTACTACCACCATCTTGTAAACGCGGTCATGATTAGATGCCTACCTATGTTGCTAGCATTTTCTGTGTCCTTCAGCTACTCTCATGCCCAAAAAGCATGTCCGTTCAGTAAGCACCATCGAATACAAGCAGACAGGCCGTCGTATACGTGGAGTTTTCCCACTAAACCGGGGGCTTCTTCACGACCATGTAAAGCTTTACCCTTGTCCTTGCCCTACCAATTATGCCGGAGCTACCGTGGGGATGAGGTCAACAACAAAAGTCTTTTTCTTGCGTTCTTCTTTCCTCTCCCGCACCGGACGACGGCAACGTCAACTAGCCCGGAAGCTGGGGCATCCGCATTTGCGAAGCTTCCCGGCAGAGCGACGAAATGTCCATCCTCGGACGCGAGTGGCGCAACAAAACACTTGGCTCTAGGAACATGCTGGTTCCATTCCTCGCAGAAATTAGGCCAAAAGCCGACTTGGGACGTGGCTGTTGGATTACGGGACGCATCCTTGGCACCTTGATAGAAGAATACCTACGTGACATGTATAAATGAGCAACGATGTCGTGGTCCTGCTTCTCGCCGGATGGAATCCTCGAGGGAGGCGATACCGAGATGGGACTTTCGCTGTTGCAATAACGCAGCTGAACCCGAAGGCCGCATACTAGATAGAGGACGTTGATGTAGATATCTCGGCGCGCATCCAAATACAAGCGAGCACATCGCTGTCCAGTACAGCGCATGCGGAACCGTACCCAGCATAGCCCTGAGAAGTGGTGGGCGCCGTGCGCACGCCCGGGAACGAATGCAAGGCAAAACGAGTTGAGGCAAAAGGCCGTGTGCGGTTTCTCATCCCAAGCTCACTACAGGGGAGACGGCGTTTCAGAGGTCTGGGAACGAAACTTTGACGCGCTAAGGAAAAAAGACATCGGTAAGTCAAGTGGATGGGTATTCAGCCGCTAGCTATATGCAGTGCATGTAAACGTGTCGATCGACATCTTCATGCCTGGAAGAGATCGGCGATCTAGAATGGCCAACCGTTGGTGGATTTCGTAAAATGTCCGACCAGTACTACGTCCTACGTCAGATCGCTCGGAAGAATTATGTGGGGGAGTGCTATATCACCCCGCGCGTATTGCTATTTAACCCCGTATCCATCTGTGCACACGTGTGAGCATCGCCGCGCACCGTCTCACGGGCCAAATTGAATGTACCCAAACGACGAGCGATGTTCTCCCATGTTAATCACGTCAATTCATAAAGTCACTAATTCAATTCCCCGTGCTGCACGGTCGTTGGCACGGCCGTTCTTTTTTGCGTCGGTTGACAGGCAGAGGCACAGATCCGGCTTGGGCCCGACCCACCAATGGCCCCGCTTTGCTTATTAAGGCCCAACCCCTTTTAATCCCTGCACTAACTTTAATCCTTAACACCAAAAAAACCCGCGATTTTTATCGTTCCAGCCTTATTTAAATCGATAATGCCTTCCAACGCTATTTGGCCTTCCCGTAACAAAGCTTTTAATATTTTACCTTTCCAATTAAAAAGCCGCCCCCGTTGGCCCGGGCAAGGGCTAAAACAATGGGCGAAGAGGAAGCACTAAGGCGGACCCCGACCGCTGCCGGGTTAGGATCGGAAACCCCTGCAGCTAATTTGGGAGGTGGGCCCTCAGCCCCTAGCCTATCTGCCGACGATTCCGACTCCTCCCCTACGGGGGTTGATTTTAGCGCCTCCCGCACGTTACATACAAACACAATTACGTTATTATTGACAGGCATTAAACGACCAGCAAAAGCACAGATTCCCGGCCCAAACTAGTGGAGGTACTTTGACAGTTTGTGTTGCACGGTGACTCCGCTATTTCGGGGTCAAATAGCAATACGCGCGGGGTGATATAGCACTCCCCGTTATGTGGGAATATGCAGAGGACGAGATATCTGGAAGGCTCGTCAAAAACCGGGTAATTCGACGACGATAGTGGCGGGGGAAATTAAATATTCGAGAAAAGAGAAAGACCGAAAAAAGATGACAGCGACATCGGAGCTGGCAGTCAACTGAGATTTTTTGATTTTTTTGTTTCAAGTTTTTGCACCACTCTGATGTCGTTTCATCAACACATGGCTAGGGCTGGCTCCTAGCAGGGCGGTCACCCACGCGATGATGGAGCCGTCGCCTTGGCTGCATGCCCAAGCCCTGATAAGAAAAAAAGGCTTGGTACACGCAACTACGGAGGTGTCAGGCAAAAGTTTTCGCCGTGGGGCATGTTTTTGCTTAAGCGAGGCAAGGGGCCGGGGTATAACACAACCAATAGCAACGCATAAAAAATAATAAGGAAAAATATTTTTTCAACATTTATCAATAAAAAAAAAGCTCCATTTAACTAAGCCAACAAAAAAAAAGCTATTTATAACCCAACTTTACCACTTTGTATGCATTCCATTAGCGTCGATAACGTCTTGCATCCTTTGGGGCATAATAACCAAAAGCCTTAAAAACTCTTCCTTTGGCACGGCCTCCCACGCCTCCTTAACCCTTGCACGAAGGACATTATAAAAAGGCTCTTTTTTTTCGTCCCCGTACTTATCTAATAAATAATCCTTCATCCAATTCCAGATATTTTCTATAGGGTTAAAGTCAAGGCTGTAAAAAGGCCAAAAAACACAACAAATACCTGTCAGGGGTCAATCGGTGCAGAGGCGGGTGGTCACCGGGTCACGGGCCGGATGCGGTGTCTCCTTTGTCAGGCCTCCGTAAATCTCCTACCAAAGGTGCTATCGCCAACAAAGATTGTTCCTTCTCTGACCTCCCCCTCCCTCGTGCCCCTTCGGGCACCCGGGGTCGGTCCTTTAAGTCCTCCGCGCTCCAGGCGCCTTCGTGCAATTTAAGCTTTACCCTATCTTTTAGCTTCGCCATTATGCTTTT